AAACTGGTTGTTTTAGTTAGCAATTTGTCTAACCTTTTTTCAAGGTTCTTAGCTTCCTCGTATTGGGTTAGAACATGCTCCTTTAGTTTGGAGGAGTTTGTTGTTGCCCACCTTCTGAAGCCTACTTCTGTCAATTCGTTAAACTCATTCTCCGTCCACTTTTGTTCCTTTGCTGGTGAGGAGTTGTGAACCTTTGGAGGACAAGAGGCATTCTTGTTTTTTGAATTTTCAGCCTTTTTGTGCTGGTTTCTTCCCATCTTCGAGGATTTATCTACCTTTGGTCTTTGATGTTGGTGACCTTCGATGGGGTCTCTTGAGTAGACATCCTTTTTGTTGATGTTGATACTATTCTGTTTGTTAGTTTTTTTTCTAGCAGTCAGGCCCCTCTGCTGCAGGTCTGCTGGAGTTTGCTGGAGGTCCACTCCAGACCCTGTTTGCCCGGGTATCACCAGTGGAGGCTGCAGAACAGCAAAGATTGCTGCCTGTTCCTTCCTCTGGAAGCTTCGTCCCAGAGGGGCACCCGGCAAATGCCAGCCGGAGCACTCCTGTATGAGGTGTCTGTCGGCCCCTACTGGGAGGTGTCTCCCAGTCAGGATACATGGGTGTCAGGGACCCACTTGAGGAGGCAGTCTGTCCGTTAGCAGAGCTCGAATGCTGTGCTGGGAGATCCACTACTCTCTTCAGAGCTGTCAGGCAGGGACATTTAAGTCTGCTGAAGCTGTGCCCACTGCTGCCCCTTCTCCCAGGTGTTCTGTTCCAGGGAGATGGGGGTTTTATCTGTAAGTCCCTGACTAGGGCTGCTGCCTTTTATTCAGAGATGCCCTGCCCAGAGAGAAGGAATTAGGCAGTCTGGCTGCAACAGCCTTGCTGAGCCGTAGTGGACTCTGCCCAGTTTGAACTTTCCAGCGGCTTTGTTTACACTGTGAGGGTAAAACTGCCTACTTGAGCTTCAGCAGTGGCGGATGCCCCTCCCACCACCAAGCTCGAGCATCCCAGGTTGACCTTAGACCGATATGTTAGCAGCGAAAATTTCAAGCCAGTGGATCGTAGCTTGCTGGGTTCCATGGGGGCGGAACCTGCTGAGCCAGACTACTTCGTTCCTTGACTTCAGCCCCGTTTCCAGGTGAGTCAATGGTTCTCTCTTGCTGGTGTTCCAGGTGCCACTGGGGTATGAAAACCAAACCAAAACAAAACAAAACAAAACTGCAGCTAGCTTGGTCCCTGCCCAAACGATCACCCAGTTTTGTGCTTGAAACTCAGGGCGCTGGTGGCGTAGGCACCAGAGGGAATCTCCTGGTCTGCCAGTTGCGAAGATTGTGGGAAAAGCATAGTATCTGGGCTGAAGTGCACCGTTCCTCCCAGTAGAGTCTTTCAGGGCTTCAATTGGCTGGGGGAGATCCCCTACCCCTTGTGCTTCCCAGGTGAGGCGACACCACACCCTACTCCCTCTGTGGGCTGCACCCACTGTCCAACCAGTTCCAATGAGATGAACCAGGTACCTCAGTTGGAAATGGAGAAATCACCCGTCTTCTGCTTTGATCTTGCTGGGAGCTGCAGACCGGAGCGGTTCCTATTCGGCCATCTTGCCAGCAAATCCTTTTAACTTATATTTTAAGTTCAGGGGTACATGTGCAGGTTTGTTACATAGATGAACTTGTGTCATGGAGGTTTGTTGTCCAGATTATTTCATCACCCAGGTATTAAACCTAGTTCCCATTAGTTATTTTTCCTGATCCTCTCCCTCCTCCCAGCCTCCACCCTCTAAAGGTAGCCAGTGTGTGGTGTTCCCCTCTGTATGACCATGTATTCTCATCATTTAGCTCCTACTTACGAGTGAAGATATGTGGTATTTGGTTTTCTGTTCCTATTAACTGAAATTTTAACTGGAAGGGATGTGCCTGTCTTGTTTTCTAGTCAATTCCTAGAGTCTTGAATGGTGCCAGGCATGTAGAAGATATTCTGTAAATATTTATTAAGTGAATTCCATAGTCTTGATTCCCCTTTGAAATCCATATGGTAGGATAATTATTGAAATAATGTCAGTCATTTTGGGAAGATATATGCATACTTATATATATATATTTATATATAAAAAGGTCTGTATTTAATTTTTTTAACCTGCAACAAATCACACTAGGTGCTCTTTGGAGTGTTTCTTTCTTTTATTTATCCTAAATGTGCCCTCTTTCTGGCTTCAAAAGTTGCTTCTAGCCCTGAGGTCTTAGGGAGCAAGCTTGCACTTTCCCTCTTTACATCTTTCATGACTTAAAATGTTGCCCCTGTATCCCATTTTAGCCTTCCTAGACTTAAGAATTTTATCTTCCACTTTTCAGTTGGTGAATACAAAATAAGTTCATCTCTGAGTTTCATCTGCCAGGTTTTAATTTAAATCTTATAATTTTATATTTATATTTTTAAAAGAAATGACTTTCTCGTGTTAGGTCAGAGAACTTAAAAAGATAAGCTATTTGTTTCTTTCTTTTGGTGAAGACTTGGCATAGAGTTTCGTTCCTGTCCCTAGAGACTTATTTACTTACCATCTATCCAGAAGATGAAGTAAGATGAATTGAAAGATCATGAAAAATTATGAGAAAAGAAAACTTGCATTTTTTGTGGCAAAACTGCTTTGAGCTGTGGTCCTCTGTAGCATGGTGGGTGTGTTTGAACAAGAGGGGGTTGCTGGTAGAACAGTCTTCAGGTGCAGGGATTGTTCAGCCCAGGTTTTACTGAACTCATGGTTTTCAAAGTGACCAAAAAAAGGTAAACACATGCTAATGGTTACTCACATAATACTTTCTTCAAAGAGTTAGCTTTTGTACCTCAGTTCATTTGGGAGGACATAAACCCCTTCTTGAAAAATAGCACAGTTATTTCCTCTTTTCTATACTTTATTGTCTGTTATACCATGTCATAACTAGTGTAAAACTAGACATATTTTCTTCAATATAACTTTCTGCTTGAAACTCAGGGCCCTGGTGGCATAGGCACCAGAGACAAACTCCTCGTCTGCCAGTTGCGAAGACTGTGAGTTTCCTATAACTTCCTCTCCTACCCTTCTCTGCTCCCTCACACCCATTAATGAAACAAATACAGTTGCCCCTCAGTATCCGTGGGGAATTGGTTCCAGGACTCCCTGTAGATACCAAAATCCATGGATGCTCAAGTCCTTTATATAAAATGGTACATATTTGCATATAACCTAGGCACATCCTCCCATATAATTTAAATAATCTCTAGATTACTTATAGTACCTGATACAATGTAAATACTGTGTATATAGTAGTTATACAGAAGGTCCCTGATTTATGATGGTTTGGCTTATGGTTTCTTGATTTTATGATGATGTAAAAGTGATATACATTCAGTACACTTCTTGACTTAGGATGGGACTATGACCTGGATAAACCCAGGGTAAACAAAAAATATCTTAAGTGGAAAACTCACTTTTGCTTACAATATTTTCAATTTATGATGTGTTTATCAGCATGTAACCAATTCCATCATAAATTGAGAAGCACTTATACACTTTTAAAAATTTGTATATTTTTGCATTGTTAATTTCAATTTTTTTTTTGACTGTTTTTGATCTGAGGTCCGTTGAATCTGTGCATGCAGAACCCATGGATATGAAGGACCTTTATTTGTACAAAATAAAGTTGCTATCCTCCTGGAACACCTGTATGTACACAGTTTATTGTTGGTAGCACAGAGAAAGGAGGTCAGCATATTGTGGCCAAAACCTTTTGTTGGAGATGTTAAACCCTCAACTTGCTGACTCATCTTTTTAAAATTTGTTAAGAACTTTTATGGTGCAGATTTTCTTTTCTCAAGGGACTTTATGACATTCTCTCTGTACCTGTTGGATCACATTCACGAAGCAGTCATGACCAATCTTTTTGGTACTTGATGCTTTCTGAACATACTGCAGTGCAGTTGCTATTGATTGGCCTTGGGAATTGCTGAAGAACAGAGGACTTGGGCTTTTAACTGGAATTCACATTTACTTGGTATACATTTAGATGCCTCACTGATAATTGATTAAAAGGAAATGGCTTCCCAATAGTCATGGTCATTGAAGACCAGTGTGGAGGCTAAAGCAACTTCATCTTGGATGTGAATCTGCTATGTTGAGTTCTGATTAGATCCAGTTCCTCCAGGAATGCCTCTAAGGTTTTTATTTTCTCTGTGGTTCCTTATGTAAAAGCACTTAAGACAACCATAAATCCCACCCTTAGGTCAAAACAACTCTGATGTTATCATACTTACTGTAAACCCTGCCCTTAAGCAATTGTCCTACACATCCCTTCTGAAGTCTGTAGACCCTTTCCCTGTGGTGGATAAGTCCTGGGTCTAGGGAGTAGGAGGTGTGGGGGCGTAACAGTGCAGGCATTCACCATCTGTCTTGTGGGGTGCCTGAGACATGGCCTCTGTTTATAATTCCCTGTGAAATGTTTCTTTCTGAGAAATTGGATTCTCAGCCTCTTTCTTTGGCCTTTCAGCTTCCTTGGCTTTGGGGTGGTGGTGGTTTGCATAGAGCTGCTCACTGCAGAAAACTAGCAAGTGCGAGTAATAACTTAGATCTAAAAAGCACACAGAGTGGCACTTCCGATGCATGCCGAGTCCTTGTTGTCTAGTTCCCTGGTTTGGATCCATGTGTCCACTATCCAGTGTTACTCCCTCATTCCAAATAAGCATCAGAATTTATTCTGGAGATAACTGAACTCAAACCACATTTTATCAAGATGTCTGTAAATTAACCTAAGTCAGTGTCCACTAAGCTACTTCAAGAAAAACTCTTTTTACAGGGAGGTATTTGTGGCAGACAGTTAACCATGGACATATCCAAATCAGAGCTGTCTTTCAGAAGTGACTATATCTCCACAGCTTGTGGAAAGATGATATTCTCAGTAGGCTTATATTTCAGTGCTTGGAACTTACTTTTACTGAAGGTTGAAAATTGCCGTTAAGAGAAACAAATGGTTCAAAACACGAAGAATCACTTTTAGGATAATTAAAACTATGTTGAAATTTTTATTTATCAATCTGGTTTCTAATATAATTTTAGTTAAATGAAAGACATTCACAAAGAATATTAGGCATACGTACATAATTTCCTTTTTTCATTCTAGTTTTACATGCTGTTGCTTTTAGAGAGTGAAATTTTGTGTTATTTCATAGGGATGGAATCCTATTGGACTTTACAGAAAGAATATTTAGCCCAGCTTTTCACAACGCTAACCTCTGCAGTCACCATGCTCACTGAGAAAATTTTAAAAACTTGACAAAATAAAACTTAGAATCAGTAAATCTAGAACTGTTTCTTGGCCTACTTGAGAGGAACTTCCATATTTTCACAGCCATCTCCAAAAGCAGCAGTTGCTGTAAATTAACTGAGATTTGGAAATGGTGCAGACTGTTTTGGTAGAACTGTTCTTATACCACAATTTTATCTGGAAAATAAACTTGTAAATGCGTGCTGTATATTAATACGTGTGTGCCCATATTTATTTTTATTATCTCCTGCCAGTCTTTGCTCAATGAGAGATAACAAACCAACTTCTCAACATGATTTCCCCATTTCATTGAATATGAGATTTATATACCACTTATGAAGAAAACTGCTGTGAAAGAAATGTACTTAGTTTCCAACATTACCATGCAGATACATGGAGAATAGGCACCGAGCCACTAGGCTACATGAACATGTCACGTTTGTATTTTGTGTTGGCCTATGTATAAGCCAGTCTAGCATGTTGGGAAGGCATGTGTAAGAGTAGGTAAGGGAGCTATAAGTTACATTCAGGTGAGAATTTAGGGCTTTCTGCACAAAATATTCTAATTTCTCTGTCCTTTTGCTATGTTGCATCTCCCAGTGTTGACAGGTTAGTCTGCATGATTAATAATTGAGCAGTTGTAGAGCCATGCCAGTAAGTCTCCAATTCCTGAACGTGGCCACATTTGTCTTTTGATGTGACTTTCAACCACAAGCCACAAATCTTCCACTAGACTCCGTTGACTTAAGCCTTCATATAAGGGTTTCAGGGTATTTTGTAGTCAAGAATCAATGGCACCTTGCAACTGTCTTATGAAGTAGGTAAAACAGCTCCATCTTAAATACGGGACAAAAGTTCGAGGACTTAACCAAGGTCACACGGGGAGGGTCACACCAAGGCAGGGAGAGAGAAAGGGGATGCTGTCAGCTAATTCTCAGGGTCCACTCTTATCAAATCATCATTTAAAAAATGGGGCTGGCTCGGCACGGTGGCTCACACCTGTAATCCCAGCACTTTGCAAGGCCGAGGTGGGCGGATCACTTGAGGTCAGGAGTTTGAGACCACCCCGGCCAACACGGTGAAGCCCGGCCTCTACTAAAAATACAAAAATATTAGCCGGGTGTGATGGCGAGTGCCTGTAATCCCAGCTCTTGGGAGGCTGAGGCAGGAGAATCGCCTGAATGTGGGAGGAGGAGGAGGTTGCTGTGAGCCCAAGATGGCGCCAGTGCACTCCAGCCTGGGCGATGGAGTGTGACTCCGTCTCAAAAGAAAGAAAAGTTGGGGGGGAGGTGGGCAGGGGCCATTGATTCTTAGCTGAAGTCAGCGGCGGACATTGTTACTGTTTGTTTCTCACTGGTTTAGGATCAGGTGGTTCTATTGGGACTAGCAATTTAGGACCTATCTTTGACTGGCTTACTTGAATTAAGTTTAATAATTGCTGCCTTTTTTTGGGAAAATTGCTCAACAGAGTGGTGAAAAGAAAAGGGGGGAGGTTTTCAAATTCAGTGTTGTTTGGAGGCATGAGACATAAAGGGGCCATTAAAATGTTTGCTGCGTAAGAGCAGGATATAGTGTGGCAAGGAGAGGAAGAGAGAAAAAAGTAGGATCGGAAAGAACAGATTGCATCATAGAAGGAAAGAAAAGCTTCTTGACGCGACCTGAACACTTGCATGTTCAAGTCCCATAGCTGTGTGCTTGTTCCTGAAGTGCTTCCAGTGGCTTCTGTCTGTGCCCAGCTCTCAGCCTGCATATATGGTGACTGCTCAGCAGATGTTCAAAAGTAATATTAAGATAGACTCTTTGACTTATGCCATTGCTTTTTCTTGTGTCTCTGAATTCCTGTTCTTGTTAGTAAACGATGCTTGTTTGTCAAATGCAGGGCAGTAGGACGTTTTCTAGTAAAGGCTGTCTAAATTCTTGTTTTCAGCTCTTTAATGAAAACTTCCACATAACAAGTCTCTTTGAGCAGTTGGTTGAAAGCCACAAGGGGAAATATATTTTTAAATATTAAGAAGGGCCAGAAAATAATTTAACAATAAAACAACTTTTTCAACCTCCTGGACCAGCTTTCTTGAACTCTAGGGAGTCTGCTATTTTGAGAGCTTAGAGTCGCACTAACCTTGCATTCATTCAAAGTCATCTCCTATCTTTCCAAAACATCGACATTTGCTTCATACACAGATGTTTCCTGCACAACCTTAAATCCGCCATTAACTTTCCCTGAAACTTTAGAACAGCCTATTTTGTTGTTGTTGTTGTCTATACATATTATTTAAAGAGGCTACTACCAATATACTTGTGCTTGCTTGATAATGTATTGGAATATAAGATGTCAAGATTGTGTGAGAAGTGAATGACACAGCAGGATTAGGCACTGAGAGCTTGGGTGGGAATGTCATGGTTATCGAGGCTGCACTGTGTTAGGCTGTCCAGGGAGAGAGTTGGAAGAAAGACTTAATTCCTTTTCTTCACATAAATATATTATTTACCATTTAAAATGTACTGGATATGGCCTTCATAAGCAGATGTAGGGATTTTTGTTAAACTCATAATCCCAAGAAGAGGTCAAGATTTCCAGCATTGATTTGGCACTTAATTACTTAATACTTTATCCACCTTTTGGTTTCCTGTCTGATGGCCATATTGTAACCCTCTTGAAGAGAGAGAGAGACAGTATCCTATATGTCTTAATTGATGGTGATATGGGAGAACCACTGATCCCTGCAGTCATTCCAGTGTCCTAGGTTTGAAATTTTGGTGAGAGGATTGGATCTCATTTTTCACCTTTTGCGGGAGGAGAAAGGATGAGAACATTTTAGTAGCAGAAGCTGTTTTGGGTGACTTTAATCCCCTACTCATTTTGGGGGAAAAAAGGAAAAGTGTTGACAATGCATAATGAACAGAGCTATCGTGGGAATTGCAAGAAATAATAAATTTCCATCGGGCGTTATTTGGTAAGTGCAGGAGTAATACCTGTAAACCGGGTTTAAAAATCAGAAACACTTTTAAAATGTTATGTTTAAAATTTGCGTTCAACAATACATACAGTAACTCCTAATGGTAGTCATCTTGGCTAAATAAAACAGCCTTTGCTTTCAATATTTCATTTGTAAATGTTACATTGTTCTGATATTTAGTGATATTAAATGTTTCTCCACTTTAAATGTATTTTATAGAGAATGATTAAAACCTTTTAAAATTAAGGGTGTCCATGACAGTGCCTGAGCTCAACCAGCAATGGTAAAAGGGCATCAGGATTCCCTTTTGTTCTGTTACCTTGACTTGCATGGGAATTAACTGGTCCAATGTCTCTTTTGGAATGTGCTGTGTACTGGTGTAATGTGCCACTAGCAACTCTAGGTAATGTTTTCCCATTACCCAAGAAACTGACATGCCCCAATAAGTTAGGCATACTGAGAATCTTGAAAAAAAAAAATGCATTATTCTAACCAACTAGAATTTCCATTTTATTGAGCCAGGCCATCAGAACAATAGCATCTATACCTCTGAAACCTCCTCTTAACCTCTCCCAGGCAAAGAAGGAAAAAGTGATCATATTTAATTCCTCAGAATGGTGGGATCTCAAGATTTTTAAAAAAGTGCTTATTAAGTATAAGAGGCTTGAAATATAATGATCACAAATGGTAGTCTTTCTAGAAATAATTTTTGTATAATCTGTTTAAAAAATAAGATTATTTTTGGATGCATTGTCCCCATTTGTTTACATGAAGTGTATTATTTTTAAATATAATCAATGAGTTATTTGTTACACAACTGGGTCAAGGTTTCAGATTAAACTAAGAGGTGTGACTAACTACACTTGTCCATCGTCTGAGAAGCAACAGGTACCAGGTTTGTGAGGAACTTGAGGTTCAAATGTGTCCATCTCAGAAGATCCCTGAATCACAGCAGTGTGATTGCATGGAAAAACACATGGAGTAGTTGATTTAAAATATGGCAGTGTTTTCCATATCATCCAGAGTAACAGCCGTAATAACTTTATTGTGTTGCATCCATTTATAGGACACGGTCTATTAGGATTTTATCACAGGGGTGGAAAAACTACCAGAGACTTAAAGCAAAATAAGAAGCGCAACCTAATTTATGCATTCACTAGAAATTATCCATACGTTTGCTACAACTTTAAAAGAAAAAGAGCAAACAAATCATAACATCTGGCTCTAATACCCCATTGAGGCGCTTATACATATATAAATCCAGTATGTTTCAGATAAAACAGGAAAAAATCTTTTGTAACAGCTGGTCACCATGGTATTGCAGCTGATAGTTACAGATATTGAATTGGTCTAAGACTACATATTAGAACAATATTAGCTTGTAGAATTCAATGAAAAACCAACAACCCCAATATAAACTGCCTTCCCTGGTTCTTTAATGCCTCTCTCCAGTTGTGCTGATTGTGTCGTTACACACCAGGTGCCATGCACTCTCTTGCTTCAACTGCTGTTATCAGTCAGGAACCCCAGATGCCAGAGAGCTGGCATAGATTGAACTCTGCTTGAAAACTGGCAAATAATAGGTTCTCTTTGCCCGTTTCTTTTCCAACTTATAGGACATCAAAGGAAATAGTATATGAACACGAACTAGTTACTACAACAGCCCATTAAGGTTGACTAGAAGCAAAAGGAAGAGAATGTTGGGGCCATATGTAGGTGCATCAGCTTTTCTCAAGAAAAAATACCCGTGTTCTAAGGGCTCTTAAAAATGTAGAAAACTTGCCCTGTTACCACGGGTCTTTAGAACACCTCTAAACACACACAAAGTAAGACAGATATTACCTACAAACTTCAACCATTGCTTAAACTCTAAAAGCATTTTTTGTATTATTTTGTTTTGATACAGAAGGGAAAACTCAGCTATAAAGAAATATTAAATTTTTTTTTTGTGTGTGTGTGTGATCAGTCTCAAGAATATTCCATTGCCTGCCTCCCCCAACTTGTGCTGATATTTTAAGGATGTGCTCAAGAGTATGAAGCAGGGTGCTTTTGTCCCTTTCTCTCCTTCCTAGTAATTCCCTCCTCCCTATCCCATAGCCAAGTAACCACCCCTCAAATGAGCCATTCCTTTTTGCTTTCATCAATGGTCTCTGTGAAATTGGGGTCGTTGTTCATGATGGCGGCGTCTGCGCTCTCTGCCGACTCCGCCCCCTTCGCTTCATTGGTATGGTAGGTGCCCTTGTGGCGGAACATGTACCGGATCAGGAAGACCAGGGTGCAGAGGATGGTGAAAATCACCACAGCAATGACGCCTGGTGGAGAAAGGAGAAGCACGAGAGGTTAGACAGGGCTTGGGTGTCCCTCCATCACTGTCCCCATTTCACTACCGCTCCCTCAGACACAGCCCTCTCCCATATAAAACACAAACTCCAAAACAACAAAGATAACAAAAATGAAGTAAGATTTCTGTTTTTGTCCATGAAGGAGTAACAGGAAAATCAGGAGTAACTTCCCTTCCAGCCAAAAGTAGCTAAAATACTGGACACAATCAATGAAATGACAGTCTTCAGACATTAGAAAACGGGCAGAATGGAACCATGATGTCTGAGAACAGAGAAACAAAAAGGAGGAGTCCTACAATTTTCCTCGTTTTCTGGCTGCCAGCAATTTTTGGACAGCAATGTAGGGAGGGGCAGCACAAGAAAGCACAGTGGTTTCCCTGAATGGAGAGGGGAGATAGAGCGCGTGCGAGAGCTGTGTGTAGAAAGAACCCTAATACTCTGCACAGAAGTGTCTCTGAATTTGTGTCAGAATGACACTAACGTGTGCATGTACAGAATGAAAGGCATAGGCCAGGCAAAAACCAGAGCGCTCAGAGGGCTGGGAGACGTTTATGTTCCAACCAACCACATTGAAGAGACCTCACTGAACAATCAGAGCATTTAATACAGTTATAGAATGGTCATGCTGAAGATGTTTGCTAAAATAGGCCTAGAATAAAGACTACCCTAGATCTATCCTGAAAAAGCTTTAAAGCACATCTAAATAACTTCAAGCTGCAGAGAAAAATAATTCAGAGAAAAAAAATGTAGGAAAATGTCACTTGACCAGAAGAAACATCAGTCAATTAGAAGGAGATTCAGAAATGACAGAGCATGGAATGAGCAGACAAGGATAGTACAGTAACTATTAGAAATGTGCACAGGGGTTTAAAGGAAAATATCAAAATGAGAGAAAAAAATGAAATAGTGGAACTTGTAGAGGTGAAACACACAGTGTCTGAAATGAAAAAAATACTGGATCAGGCCAGGTGTGGTGGCTCACGCCTGTAATCCCAGCACTTTGGGAGGCTGAGGCGGGTGGATTACTTGATCAGGAGTTCAAGACCAGCCTGGCCAACATGGTGAAACCCGGTCTCTTATACTAAAAGTATAAAAATCAGCCAGGTGTGGTGGCACGCTCCTGTAATCCCAGCTACTCAGGAGGCCGAGGCTCGAGAATCGCTTGAATCTGGGAGGCAGAGGCTGCAGTGAGCCAAGATCGTGCCACTGCACTCCAGCTTGTGTGACAGAGTGGGACTCTGTCTGAAAAGGAAAAAAAAAAAAATACTGGATGAAATAATACAGACTAGATAAAATAGAAGTAAATATAACTGATCTAAATACTCCAATTAAGAAGTAGAGACAGAGTGGATAAAAAAGATGCCTACTATATGATGTCTACAAGACATAAACTTTAAATACAGGTCAAAAGTAAAAGGGTAGGAAAAGATATGAAAACAATAATCATAAGTAAGCTGAAATAGCTACATTAATATGAGACAAAGGACAAAGTTGTTAGTAGAAATGAAGAACATTTCATAATGACAAAAGGGTGAATTCATCAAGAAGACATAATGATTACGAATGTGTATAAACCTAACCTAAGTACAAAATAAATGAAGCAAAAACTGGCAGAACTGGTAGGAGAATTAGACCAATTTGCAATTATAGTTGGAGATTTTAACACTGTTCTGTCAGTAACTGATAGAACAATTGAACAGAAAATCAGCAAAAATTTAAAAGACCCGAACAATACTATTAAACATTACCTAATGATATTAGACCAATCCTAAACATCTTTCTTAAAATACAGGAGGAGAAAACACTACTCAGTTCATTTTATGAGACCAGCATTATCCTGATACTAAAACCAGAAAAACATTACAAGAAAACTGTGGAGCAATATTCTTTTTTTTTTTTTGAAGACAGAGTTTTGTTCTTGTTGCCCAGGCTGGAGTGCAATGGCATGATCTGGGCTTATTGCAACCTCAGCCTCCCAGGTTCAAGCAGTTCTCCTGTCTCAGCCTCCCAAGTAGCTGGGATTACAGGCGCCCGCCACCACGCCCAGCTAATTTTTGTATTTTTAGTAGAGATGGAGTTTCACTGTGTTGGCCAGGCTGGTCCTGAACTCCTGACCTCAGGTAATCCACCCACCTTGGCCTCCCAAAGTGCTGGGATTATAGGCGTAAGGCACCACGCCCGGCCACAATATTCTTTTAAATAGAATTTTAGTAAATCAAACCCAGCAATATGTAAAAAAGATCATATATTAGGATAATGTTAATCCTAGGAATGCAAGTTTGGTTTAACATTAAAAAATAAAGCAATGTGATTTACCACATTAAGCAAATAAGGAGTAAAACAGTATGATCATCTAAATAGATGTGGAAAAAGCATTTGGAAAACTTACAATACCCATTCATCATACAGCTTTCAGTAAACTATGAGTAGAAGAAACTGTCTCAATCTGATAAAGGACATCTGTTGGAAACCTACAGCTAATATCCTATTTAATAGTGAAAGATCAAACACATTCCCCTAACATAGGGAACAATGCAAAATTGTCAAATCTCAACATTTATTCACTTTTGTACTGAAAATCATACCCAGTGCAATGAAACAATAAAAGGATATAGTCTGGAAAGAAACAAGTAAAAAAATCTCATTATTCTCAGATAACATGCTTGTGTTTAGGTAGACAATTCTAAGGAATATACAAAAAAAGTTATTAGAACTAACAGCAAATTTAGCAAGGTCACAGAATATGAGGCTGATATAAAAGATCAATTATACTTTTATATGCCAGAAAGAAACACTTAGAAAATGAAATTAATAAAATAGTAATTGCACAAATTTAAAAGTTGTTCAAGACTTTGCGTTGAAAACCACAATACGTTGCTGAGAGAAACTGAAGAGACAAATAAATGTATAGATACACCATGTAAGGATAGAAATACTAAGTATCGTTAAGATGTTCATTTATAGGTCTAATACAATCCCAATCTAAATTATAGCCAATTTTTTTGGTAGAAATTTGTAAACTGATTCTAAATTTTATATAGAAATGCAAAAGACATAGAATAGCCAAAATAATTTTGAAAAACAACAAAAGATTAGAGAACTTATATTGTTTATTTCAACACTTTGTATTAAGGTACAACAGGTCGGCGCAGTGGCTCACACCTGTAATCCCACCACTTTGGGAGGCCGAGGTGGGCGAATCACAAGGTCAGGAGATCGAGACCATCCTGGCCAACGTGGTGAAACCCCATCTCTACTAAAAATACAAATTAGCTGGACATGGTGGTGCATGCCTGTAAGTGCAGCTACTCGGGAGGCTGAGGTAGGAGAATCGCTTGAACCAGGGAGTTAGAGGTTGTAGTGAGCCAAGATCGTGCCACTGTACTCCAGCCTGGCGACAGAGCGAGACTCCCATCTCAACAAAAAAAGATACAACAATAAAGCAAGCATGGTATTGGGTAAGGAAAGATATATAGACCAACAAAACAAAAAGCCTAGAAAATAGACACACACACACATATGGTCAGTTGCTTTAAAAAAAGTGCCAAGAAAATTCAGTTGAGGAAAAGTATAGTTTTTTTTTGTTTTGTTTTCAACAAATGGTCTTGGAATAACAAGATATTCATTTGGAAAACACTGGCTTTGACTCTTCTCTCACACCATTTATAAACATCACACCATTTATAAACATCAAATCGAAGTGATTAAAGAGCTAACGGTAAATGATGAAGCGATACAACTTCTAGAAGAAAGCTGAAAATCTTCAAAACTTTTGGGTAGGCAGACTTTTTAGATAGGACAAATCAACCACAAACTATAAAAAGATTGGAGCCAGGCGCAGTGGCTCACGCCTATAATCCCAGCACTTTGGGAGGCTGAGGCGAGTGGATCACTTGAGGTCAGGAGTTCGAGACCAGCCTGGCCAACATGGTGAAATCCCGTCTCTACTAAACCTGAGATCATGCCACTGTACTCCAGACTGGGCAACGGAAAGTGAGACTGTCTCAAAAAAAAAAAAAAAAAAAAAAAAAAAAGTTAGGGACCTGTTACACTTATAGGTATGTATTATACTTCAATTAAGTTGATTTAAAAAAAAAAGCAAAAAACAGTGAGGACTGGGATATTGATGGCAATAGGGATGTCAATATTGATCTACGCATGAGGCTCAACAGCTATCTTAGGAGAGTCAAATTATTATGTAGCTGCCCCTGGTGAGAAGAAAACACTGGAATATTTTAGATGCTACAGCTTGTTAATTTTCTGATACATTTTTATTTTTAAATTTTAATTGTGCAAATTTATGGGCTACATGAGAACATTTGTTACATGTGTACATGGAATAGTGATCAAGTCATAGTATTTAGGGGCTCATCAACCAAGTATAATACATTTTTGTTAGATATAGTCATCCTACCCTGCTAGCAAACCCTGAATTTGTTCCTTTTATCTTACTGTATGTTTGCACCCTGTAACCCACTTCTCTTCATTCTCCTTCCTCCTCCTCCTCAACTTTCCCAGTCTTATCTGTTTTTCTTTCTACCTCCATGTGTTCAAATCTTTTAACTCCTGTGTATCAGTGAGAACATGCAATATTTGTCTTCTTGTGCCTAGCTTATTTCACTTAAAATAATGATCTCCAGTAATTTTCTGACAATTTGCATTATGATAACTGAAACCAGACTGGCATTTCCCTTTTCTTTTCTTTTCTATGTATTTATTTATTTAGACAGAGTCTTGCTCTGTTGCCCAGGCTGGAGTGCAGTGGCGTGATCTTGGCTCACCGCAAGCTCCGCCTCCTGGATTCACACCATTCTCCTGCCTCAGCCTCCCAAGTAGCTGGAACTACAGGCGCCCGCCACCACGCCTGGCTAATTTTTTTTTTTGTATTTAGAGACGGGGTTTCACCATGTTAGCCAGGATGGTCTCGATCCCCTGACCTCGTGATCCACCCACCTCGGTCTCCCAAAGTGCTGGGATTACAGGTGTGAGCCACTGTGCCCAGCCTGCCTTTTCATTTTTTATAGTATGCTATCCTGGACCATTTGGGATGCAAAAGGATGAGACTGAAAAAGATCAGAGGGGATAAAGAAATGTCCTGGCTATGATCACTACTACCTCCTTACATATTCTGAGTCTGTCCAGCTTACCACTACCATTTGTTTTTTACAAGCCGGCATTAAAAAGTAGCCAGGTTAGGCCAGGCGCAATGGCTCATGCCAGTAATCCCAGCACTTTAGGCGGCTGAGGCGGTGGATAACGAGGTCAGGAGTTCAAGATCAGCCTGGCCAAGATGGTGAAACCCCGTGTCCACTAAAAACACAAAAATTAGCCAGGCGTGGTGGCAGGCACCTATAATCCCAGCTACTAGGGAGGCTAAGGCAGGAGAATTGTTTGAACCCGGAGGCAGAGGTTCCAGTGAGCCGAGATCACGCCACTGCACTCTACCCTAGGTTATAGAGCACGACTCCATCTAAAAAAGAGAAAAAAGTAGCCATGTTACATTTACTATATCTTTCTCTCTTTTTTTTAAAACAGAGTCTTGCTCTGTTGCCCAGGCTGGAGCACAGTGGTGCAATCTTGGCTCACTGCAACCCCTGCCTCCCAGGTTCAAGAGATTCTCCTGCCTCAGTCTTCCGAGCAGCTGGGATTATAGGTGTGAGCCACCATGCCTGGCTAATTTTTGTATTTTTAGTAGAGATGGGGTTTCGCCATGTTGGCTAGGCTCGTCTAGAACTCCTGACCTCAGGTGATCTGCCCACCTTTGCCTCCCAAAGTGCTGCGATTACATAGGCGTGAGCCACCGTGTCTGGCCACATTTACTATATTTCTGCATATCAGAATTCATGATCTTGTGTACTATTTAAACAACAAAATGAATCATGTAAAAATCTAGAAAACTTTTTCCTAGACTACTATGTTATTGACAATTATTGCTTTCCATAGGTGAGTAGCCCCACATGAGCCTGCTCTACACATCACCTACCTCCAATGATAGCCGAGTTTCTGTTGACTCCATTTCTTATAGCTTGGCCTTGTCCTGGATTATATGGAAAATCTGCACTGGCTGTACAGAAAGAAAGAGTCAAGTGTCAGAGTCAAGTATATTGATCCCAAATAATTTGAAACCTATTTCTCCATACAATTCGTTAACACTTACTGTTTTTCCAAATGAAATCTCCATATCTGATGGACCCTGTCTTGCCGTTGTCTCACAAAAGAATCACAACAGCCTCCATCCCTGTACCTGCTGTTTCTGTTTGCACAAGGCCTAGATAAACACGACTTACCACTTGGAGCAATATTAGAGAATCCTAGAACTCCCTGAGCTGGCTCTAGTTCCACAGACAGACGAGTTTATGCATTTGAATGTTTCTTACATTTGGTTGAAATCTGCTTCCCATCCACTTTTAACCCCATGCACAACTGGTGGCATTCAGTATATTTGTAGATGAGCTTTTTACAGCTACAGTATTAAAAAGTTTAAAAAGGAATCATTCCTTCAAACTTGTATTTTTCATGGCTGTAGTAAGACCACTGGCACACTTCAGGAGTTTGTAAGGGGGTAATAATTCAAAACAGTTGAGAAGAATATAACTGCCTAGTGAATCTATTTCTTTCCCTATTATAAATGATAAGACTCAATTGTGTTATATTTAGGTATTTCTCTAAGATAAAACAAATTTTAAGCCCGGAAAAGGCAGAATCTATCTTCTGTCATCCATAGGACCTAATCCAGCTTCAGAAACAATTCACATTTGTTGGTCTTCTGTTGGAGAAGTTAAGGTAAATCTTCCAATAGAAGCAGGTCACCTTAGTCTAAAGCAAGCTCTGGCTACTGGATGGCACCAATTAAATGTAAAAAGAATTTAGAAGTACTTATTTGGTACAATGAAATGTGTACACATTTCAAATAGGCAAATAGGTTTATGTTATGATTCAGGGAGAATGTTGCTACATACTCCATTTTCTAACACTAATATATTCCTGGGCTATGGACTTCCAAGATTATCCAGGATAACGATAAAAAGCAGGTAGAGCCCTTTTTCCTCCTCTCCCCTTGGAAATACGGCAACCAAAAAGGGAGATTCCAGATTCTGTCAACACATGTGATTTAATCCTTTCCCTTTTAGACTTTATATTCTCTTTTTTTTATGGAGGGGGGGAGCTGCAACCAAAAAGGGAGATTCCAGATTCTGTCAACACATGTGATTTAATCCTTTCTCTTTTAGACTTTATATTCTCTTTTTTTTATGGAGGTGAGAGCTGGGGAAAGGGTCTCACTCTGTCATCCAGGCAGTGGTGTGATCTCGGCTCACTGCAACCTCTGCCTTTTAGGCTCAGGTGATTCTGCCTCGGCCTCCCAAGTAGCTGGGATTACAGGCACCTGCCACCAGGCCTGGCTAATTTTTGTATTTTTAGTAGAGGCGGGGTTTTACCATGTTGGTCAACCTGGTCTCAAACTCCTGACCTCAAGTTATCCACTCACCTTGGCCTCCCAAAATGCTGTGATTACAGGCATGAGCCGCTGCACCTGGCTAGACTTGATATTCTTGTTTAGGATGAGGAAAATTATACTTTACATTCCAAATTATCTCAACTATCTGAGTAAAAAGCACAGACATTAAGAAAGCTACAAATGAAAGCAAACTTAACTCTGAGTATTCAAGGATTTCATATTCCCCCAAGTCTTTAACTGGGGGATGCAAAATAGACCACTGATGGTTTGTGCTTGTTTTAACTGGCTTGATCCTTTTTTTTTTTTTTTTTTTTAAGATTTGGTCTTGCAGTGTACACCAGGCTGGTGTGCAGTTGTATAATCACAGCTCACTGCAACCTGGACCTTCCAGGCTCAAGTGTTCCTCCCGCCTCAGTCTCCTGAGTAGCTGGGACCACAGTCGTGCACCATCACGCCTGGCTAATTTTTTATTTTTTGTAGAGATGGGGTTTCCCTATGTTGCCCAAGCTTGTCTTGAATTCCTGGGCTCAAACAATTCTCCTGCCTTGGCCTTTCAAAGTGCTGGGATTACAGGTGTGAGCCACCTTGCCCGGCCAAATTGGTCCAATCCTAAATCCAGTTAGCTAGGTAGGGAAATGGGGAGAACCAACGCGCAGTACGGTGTAGTCAGCTACTTTCCCATCAGCTTACTTTCCCATTTCCCTTCAGGATCTGCTAGGGTAGGTAGCATGGATTAACATTCCCAATCCCAAATGTCAGCCCAAGAATGCAAAATCTTTAATTTATTAGGCTTATCATCAGATATAAGATTAATCCTAAAATTATCCTATGGGAATAAACCTGGTTTACATAAAAACATATAATAAAAACCTTGGCTTTCTTTTTTAAACCTGAATCTTCAGAGAAGTACTATTAGTAGATGTGACAAATGTATTCATTCACTCATTCACTAAATCTTTGTAGAATGCCTACTATATGTCAGACTTCATTCCAAGTGCTGAGGATACACAGTGAACAATAAAATAGACAAAACGGGGAATAAAGTTCTCTAGCTAATGAGAACTTCCTGGTCCAACATGGTCTGTTTATTCCATGCATCCTTGAACAGTTTGATTTATATAGTCTAGATAATATACTGAAGCATGGATATAGTTTCAATTATGAACTTGTCCATTTACAGTAAATTGCCTGATATGCCACCCACAAACCATAAGCACAGGAAGATTTGGTTATGAATGTACACAATTCCCTGGCACAAGACACCCTTCAAAGACCACAAGCTGTTTTTCAGGAATGAAAACTTGCACATTACTGCCCATCTTTTCCAGACTTTTTGACATTATCATTACTCTTCTCTGGACACTATTTAGTCCATATCCTTCTAGAAAGTCACCAAGCTTGTGAGCAGTCTAGCTAAAATTAGAACCCAGGTAGGGTTCATTCCAAAGTCAACAATCTTCTCTACCCTGCCTTTTGAAGGCTAGAAAGGGACAGGGAGTTGAAGGGTTGAGGAGGTCCCGCTTGCAGACAGTTTGGCTTGGGTTGGCACTATGGAAGGAGGAGCCCTTTTAGTGATGAGGAATTAATTAGTTTTGTATTAGACATACTGAGTTGGAGGTGCCCAGGTGGAGGACACCAAGGTGGAGATATTTACTAGATATTTGGATACTTTGTGAGTGAGTCATATTTCCTGTCTCCTTTTGATAAACGCAGAAATTTCCTGACCTCCTTTGTGTCTTCCCCTATTCCCTGCCCCGTCATGAACTTCTTTAAACAATATGTAGCTTCAAAAAAGTATGGTGATTAAAAAATTACAATGGTAGGCCAGGCATGGTGGCTCACGCCTGTAATCCCAGCACTTTGGGAGGCTGAGGCAAGTGGATCATAAGGTCAAGAGATCGAGACCATCCTGGCCAACATGGTGAAACCCCGTCTTTACTAAAAATATGAAAATTAGCTGGGCATGGTGGCGTGCACCTGTAGTCCCAGCTACTCAGGAGGCTGAGGCAGGAGAATCACTTTAACCTGAGAGGCGGAGGTCGCAGTGAGCTGAGATCACGCCACTGCACTCCAGCCTGGTGACAGAGTGAGACTCTGTCTCCAAAAAAAAAAATAATAATAATAATTAGCTGGGCATGGTGGCATGTGCCTCTAGTCCCAGCTACTCAGGAGGCTGAAGCAGGTGAACTGCTTGAACCCAGGAGGCGGAGGTTGCAGTGAGCCGAGATTGCACCACTGCACTCCAGCCTGGCGACAAAATGAGACTCCGTCCCCCCCCCAAAAAAAAAATTACAATGGTAATTTGTTTTTATTCTATTGTGTGATATTCATAATACTGTGAATGGTTTGCTTGCTTTTCTGGCTCAGGTGACATGGCTGGTAGACCACAGCATGGTTTCTCTCTGCTCCAAAGCCTGTCTTACGGTGTTGCATCCTTGGCCACAAAGCTGCAGAAAAATGTAGATGCTTAAGAGATACTCATAGACCTCTTCCTGTTTCCCTTGAGGTTACCAATAAAAAAAGTAGCAGAACATATGGAGATAGTGGAAGGAGTTACCTGAGATGATGCAAGGAGAATGACAAGCGCTAGAGAGGAACATTTAAAAATATCCCAGGATTGTTTTGGGTATCAATCAGAACTCCTGAGCATAGTGAAGAAGGCCCCCCTTGAGCTGTATTTCTCTCCTGTCCCTTCCCTCCTGGGGTCACTTTTCCAACTCAACATTCTAGGTATAGGTGATACGGGCAGGAGGCAGGGAAATACTGGGTAGAAGAGGGTGGAGTCCCTGGCAAGGGTTCCACCCACAAACCTGAGCCCACAGCCCTAAATGAGAACTACACAGCCTTGTTTTCCCACCCAAATGCTGCTTTTTTCCAAAACCACCCTGGCCTGCCAGGCCCCCCAATCCTGTACCCATAAATACCCCAAGCTCCACTGGCAGAGGAGCAGAGCAGCGTGGCAGAGGAGAGAAGAGAACAAGTGGCTGAACGTCAAGAGGAGAAGCAGCATCTGAATGTTGAAGAGGTAACTGGACAGTTGGAAAGCAGTTTGGCTCAGGATGACTGAAGAGAATTATCCTTCCATTTCATCCCTTTCCGGCTCCCCATCCCACTGAGAGCCACTTCCATCACTCAATAAAACCGTTGTGACCTGATTCTTCCCGGACGCCAGACAAGGACCTGAGTACCAAGAGGGCAGGGGGTAAAAGGCTGTCACCCTGTCTCCACTGAGCTGGCTAACACTTAGCCATCCCCAGACAGCAACTGCTAAAAGAGCATTAATTGTAACATTCCCCTAGAAGCTGCTGTGGGACCAGAGCCCAAAAGCGTTCACCCCAGCTGTGGCACCCACTTGCCTATGTGCTCCCCTTTCACAAAAGGTTTGAGTGAGCTGCACCCATTGCAAGTCCAGTGAAGGGGTCCAGGGAACTCTCCTGTCTCATAGGAGTTCCTGATGCTTCCAGTTGACACCCCTTTTCTCTTCCATATGGCACTCTGTCTGGACATCTGGTTTACTTTCCTTTTCTTTGTCCATCAGATCTTACTACTTTCCTGAAAGTATCCTCAGCAACCTCAGATTGTGTGTGTCCCTTTTCTCAATGGGAATA